CCAATGATAAATGTAAACATATTGTATACCTAAAATGTACCAATAAAAGAATTTAAGAAAAAAAAAAAAAAGTCACACAAGTATTCTTCCCTAGAACTTGAGTGGAGCATGGCTGTCAGTGTTTTGATTTTGGACTTCTAGCCTCAAGAATATGAAAGGATAAATTTCCTGTGTTATAAGCTACCCAATTTATAATACCTTGTTAAAGCAGCCTTAGGAAATCAATATAGGAGATCACTGCTAAGATGCTAATATAACAAGAAAATACATATACAAATGCAAAAATAGGATTCCACTGTGCCTTTCCTAAATCTTTACATTCTTGCCTTAAGAATCATTTTGTGGTTCTGTAATCAGACAATAATCCAATCTTGACCAAGAAGTGAAGAATAGGAATGTACATAGATATCCTTTGTTGATAAAAGGAAAATTTCCTTGGACACTGCACATGAAAGAAAGTTAGCAAGACATAGGTCAGTCTTGCCTTAGCCAACCTTGACATAAAACGAACATTTCATTTGAGAGCCTTCAACCAAAATAACACATATAGTAGGAAAATTCTATTTGAAAATTTTAAAACTTTGTGGCCACTCTGTGGGTGTGAGTGGATCTGTGTTAGGTTAACATACAGAGCAGCTGCAAGGGGAGACATATATGTAAGACTGAAAATTCAGCCAAAATATCTGTATTTTCCATGGATAAGGAAAAAATACAGATTTAGACATAGGGGAAGAAAGGGCAAATACTATTTCCTTTTGCTTCTAGAGACCAAGCCTAATATTTTAATCCTATAAATAAGACTGAGGGCTGGGGATTTAGCTCAGTGGCACCACTGCCTGCCTCCCAAGTGGAAGGTCTGGAGTTTGATCCCCAGTACAAAAATAAATAAATAAACTTGTGGGCTCAATTTATGAAAAAAAAAATATGACGGGTTTTAAGTCTGTTTCCCATCCTTTGTGCTGGCTAAAAGTGGATGGCCAGAAGAGCTTGCCTATGGAAAAGTACATTCATGACTTTATGAAGAAAAAAGGAAGACCTGGAGCTAAGTTTGGGATGAGAAACAGGAATCTAAATTGTAGAATGAATTACACACACATTCTGGCTTTCCATGAGCAGCTTTCAGAGAAGAATTGATGGGCCAAGAAAATTAGAATGGAGGAAATGTGAAGAAGGTCTGGAAAAATGGTTTTATGGCCACAGTAACATGGTAGCTGGACAGGTCCTGGGGAAAGTGAGAGCTGACCTTGAGAGAGTGGCTGAGGAATTTTAGGATGGTTATGCCTAACAGTAACACTTTTAAAACATGCTGTGCTTGTTTTAAGAAAACAAAAAAAGAAAAAGCCTCTCCCGTCATCTTCATATCATCAGCAAATATCTGCTACGATCAACTGCCTTGTAGTAAAGTCTTTTAAAAAATTAAGAACAAGATTAAGATCTATATTCGTTTAACATAAAGAATAATCATAAGGGTCAAGACACATGTAACTCAGCAGAAGAAACTCAGAGATTAAGAGATATTTAAATTATCTTACAATGCCTAGAGATAATGAGGACTTTGGTTAGATCAACACAGGGTTTACACTGTGCATGGGAGGGACAGTGCCAGTTCATTTGAACTCTGAAAGAAAAAGTGACCCTACAAACCTGGATGACTTCGAATGCAGCTGATACATGAGTTTCATAAAAAATTGAAACAAATGCACTCATTTATTGTAATTCTCTTTAAAAATAAATATATTAGGGCCTGAAGAGGTAGCCTAGTGATTGTTCACTG